TCTGCTATCTCAAAAGGAGTTCTTTTTTTTTTTTTTTTTTTTTTTTTTTTTAAAATCTAGGGAAAAAAAAAAAAAAACCCCTTTTGTTTTGTTGTACCAAAAGGAATTCTTTTTTTTTTTTTTAAAATCTAGGGAAAAAAAAAAAAAAACCCCTTTTGTTTTGTTGTACCAAAAGGAATTCTTTTTTTTTTTTTTAAAATCTAGGGAAAAAAAAAAAAAAACCCCTTTTGTTTTGTTGTACCAAAAGGAATTCTTTTTTTTTTTTTTAAAATCTAGGGAAAAAAAAAAAAAAACCCCTTTTGTTTTGTTGTACCAAAAGGAATTCTTTTTTTTTTTTTTAAAATCTAGGGAAAAAAAAAAAAAAACCCCTTTTGTTTTGTTGTACCAAAAGGAATTCTTTTTTTTTTTTTTAAAATCTAGGGAAAAAAAAAAAAAAACTCCTTTTGTTTTTTTTTCTCAAAAAGGGTTTTTTTTTTTTTTTTTTTTTTTTTTTTTACACTAGCATTTAAAATGCAAAAGTGGTCTCGCCACAGGCTCCTTTATGAAGCCTGTACCAAGATAAGAACTCCACACATTGCACTCACTCTTCAGGGGCTCGATGCTCATCACTTTGCCTCTGCAAGTGGAGGACAGTGCAGTTTTATGGAGAGGGGAGGCTCATCTTGTTGATTTTGACCTCTGGCTCTAATCTAGGCAGTGATGGCTCTGGTTTCTTCATAGGGCGTTTTCATCACCAAATCTTTATGTAAAATTCTTCTTGGTCAAAAGTGAACTGAATACTTCCGCCAGTCCTGGGCTTCCTTTTTCAGGCTTCTTTTTGTAGCTCCAACTTCCTATTTCTCATTGCTGCAACCTTTTCAGTACTGGTCTTGCTTTGAAAATCTGGCGAGCCAGTCAGTGCAGGCAACAGAACGATGAGAACTACGTTTTGCATGGGGGAACTCTTCCCCAGTGCTCTTTAACTTTTTAACAAGAACTTATTGTTTTCCTTTCTTAAGCCCTGTTTTCTTATAGAATTTCTAGGGCAAATTTCAACATGATATAATACTTGCAGTAAATTATAACCATCAATGGTAAGCAATATTACACACTGAATTCTATGCACCCCCCCCCCAGTGCCATGACTTGTATTGAGGTCACTCACTTATGGGTGAGGTGTCACTTACAGGTACAGAAATGACTCAAAGACAGATTCATCACCGAAGCCCACAAAGTGGTGAAGCTGGAGCACACTGCACAGCCTGCAGGCAGCTCTCAATAGATTACAGAGGGTCCTCGGTTGGTCTAAACATCTTCCAGGCAGCTTGATTGTTTCCTGCTTCTTCTAGGCAGCTTGTCTGGCACTAAGAAGAACTTTATAAAAGTAGTATGATATTAACAGTAGAAAAACAGGTCTTGGAAGAAGGAAGATCCCTTTGTTTGTTTTATATAGAAGTAGGTTATGGTATATTGAGATACAGGTCTCCTTTAGTCTTCCAGACAGTTTGAGGGAGTAAAAACTCCTTCCTTAAAAAGAGAGAGAGACAGAGAGAGACAGAGAGAGACAGAGAAAGAGAGAGAGAGAGAGAAAGAGAGAGAGAGAGAGACAGACAGACAGACAGACAGACAGACAGACAGACACAGACAGACAGAGACAGAGTGAGAAAGCGACAGAGAGGCTTATATTTACAATGCATTTCTCACTTAACATTGCTCCCTTTAGAGGTTGTGGATTGTCAGAACTCCCTGGAAGAACTGTTAGTGTTTGCCTTCCTTTCATATTTGCTCAGTTTTTCTGTATTTTCAAGGACTATTAAACAAACTGATTTGTGATTTGGATTAGGAATTCCCAATTAATCTGGAGCTCTCATCATTAAAAGATTGTTGGTGTTAAAAAAAAAAAAAAGCCATTCTGGGACTGGAGAGATGATTCAGTGTTAAGAGTCCTTGTTGCTCTTCCAATGGACCTGATTGGGTTTAGATTCCCAGAACCCACAGTAGATGGCTCCATAGATCCAGGCTATCCCATACCCTCTTCTGGTAATACATTCCCTCCCCCCTCACCCTTTCTCTCTCTCTCTGTGTGTGTGTGTGTGTGGTGTGTGTGTGTGTGTGTGTGTGTGTGTGTGTGTGTGTGTTGAAACAGGTCTCACATTATAATTAAGCCTGATGAAGAACTATGTGGCCTAGGATGACCTCAAGCTTGTGACAATCTTGCCTCAGTTTCCCTAGTGCTGGAAGTATAGACAGGAACCACTGCTTTTTTATATCAGTTTCATATCTCGCTCTCTTTCTCTCTTTCTCTCTCTCTCTCTCTCTCTCTCTCTCTCTCTCTCTCTCTCGCTCTCACTCTTCTTTTGTTTTTTTTTTTGTTTTTTTTTTGAGGGTTTCTGTGTAGCTTTGGAGCCTATCCTGGCCCTCACTCTGTAGACCAGGCTGGCCTTGAACACACAGAGATCCATCTGCCTCTGCCTCCCCAGTGCTGGGATTAAAGGTGTGCACCACTAACACCCGGCTAATTGTAAAAAAAAGCCTATTCAACTCTTATGTTAAATAGCATATTTCTGTTGAGTGGTTGACTATATTTGTCATCAAGGTCTTTGTTTATCTCTCCATCAACAAATATTATTAATGTAATATTGAGGCGGAGTGCTGGGGATGTGAGAATGAAATGTATTTCCTGTCATGAGGGATGATCATATAGCTCGAAAAGTGAAATAACAAATGTGTGCATTACTGATAGCACAGAAGAGAAGGCCTGATGATGAACATAGACCGGGGGTGGATTTTCATCAGAAGAGACCCTTGAATTGGTTAAAGGGGGAGTGTGATTTTCAACATACAGTTGGAAGGGCTTGGCACTATTAGAATATTGTAGCAAACGGAGCATTCTGTACCACAGCAAAGAGGTCAGAACAGGCCATTTGAAAGTGACTGAGGAATAGCTAGAGTGTAGGAGGATGAAGGGGAGCTGTGAGCTCTCTCACTGAGGGAGGCAGGATCTGTTCACAGACTAACCCTTCCCATTTGGCTTAGGACCAAGTATAAAAGGCAGAGACTCTGGAAGCTCTTCTGTGAAAATGTGTGTAGGAGAAAGATTGGCTATTGTGTTGAGCCATACTGGAGCTGGGAAAAGGAGATCAAACAGGGATATTCTTTGATAAAAGAGGACGAGGGCTTGAGATGAGACAGTATACATGGAGAGGAAAGGATGAGAGAGAAATAAAAGATGCTTGGAATAAGTAGTTTTCATAACCAGTTGAATCTGGTGAAACAGTAAGATTTACAGTGTAGGTGGATGTGGTTCAAGACAAGAAAAGGCGATTGGATAGAGCAGAAAGAACTGGCCAGATAACAAAAATCTAACCAAATAGAGGGAAGTATTCCTTAGCACATTTCTCTCAGCCTTAGGCATAGGAGCAGCAACTACTGTTCTCTCCTTGGCAAACACTGTTGGATATCTGTTGGTGTCAGTTTCCCTCTGGATGTTGAGGATACAGAGGTGAACAAGAAGAATGAGTTCCAGCTCTCCTGGAGCATGTCTTCTAGTAGAGGGGAGATGTCCACAAAAATAAACACACAGAGAAGATGATTCCAAATAAACATGAGTAGTGAGCAGAGTAAAGCAAGATCACGTGACAGAATATGACTGAGCAGGCTGCCATAGTCTAGTCAGAAAGGCCTCTTCAAGTATAATGAGAAGGGAACAGCCTGGTTATGGCAGAGAGTCTACTTGGTGAAAACAAAACAAGATAAAGCAAAAGAAAACAACACAATACAACCATTGGGGCCTGATCCTGGGAAGCAGACTGGCTAGGTGAGAAGGGCAGTGTTCTGGAGAGAGGGCAGAAGCAGGATGAGAAGTGTGGGAAGGAAGCTGAGGGCCATTCATAAGCTTTAAAGGACTAGTGAACATCCTAACTGCAATAAGAAGCCATCAAATGATTTTAGGCATGTATGATGGTTTGAATGGGGATGTTCCCCTTAGGCTCTGACGTTTAAATACTTGGTCCCTGGGTAGTGGCACTGTTTGGGAGGCTCAGGAGGTGTGGCCTTTCTATAGGAAGCACTTCATTGGGACTGAACTTCAAGAGTTGAAGATTCTCCCCATTTATACTCTGCTCACTCTGCTTCCTGCTGGTGGTTTGAGATTTGAGTCCTCAGCTTTTGGCTTCCAGGTCCAGCAGCCATGACTGCTATCTGCTGTCCCTGCCATTACAGACCCTAGCCCTCTGGAACTGTGAGGCCAAAACACACTTTCTATAAGTTTCTTTGGTCGTGGTGTTTTAATCACATCAACAGAAAAGTAGCTAATAGAGCAACACAACCCAGTTTATGTTTTCAAATGCTCACTAGAGTGGGTGCGAACAAACTGTATTATGCTGAAAGTTTGAAAATGATTTCAGCGTTACTCAGATGAGAAATGATGGTACCTAGGTTTTGGAATTTGCGGCAGTGGTGAAGCAGATTGTGCATGTATTTTAGAAACTGAGTTAGTCGCATGTGCTGATGGGTAGAACATTGATAGAGAGCCATGACTGGACAAAGATAACAATTCTGAGATAAAAGAGTTGCATCTGGGTGGTGGTGGTACACACCTTTAATCCCAGCACTCTGGAGGCTGGGAGGCGAAGCAGTCGGATCTGTGAATTTGAGGCCAGCCTAGTCTACAGAACAAGTTTCAGGACAGCCAGGACTACCTGCCCAGAGAAACCCTGTCTTGGCAAAAAACAAACAAACAAACAAACAAAAAACAACCAAAAAAGATAATACACTTGTGGGGAAGATACTATCAAGAATTTATTTTTTCTTTGTTGAATTTGAGCTGTTTAACATAAGAAGATATCAAATAGGTAGTTGAATATACAAATTTGGAATTCAACAGAAGATATATTTAAATGCTTTAGTCATTAGGGAGTGACACTATTTGACAAAGATTAGGATTAGGAGGTGTGACATTTTTGGAGTATGTGTGGCTTGTTGGAGGAAGTGTGTCACTGGGAGTGAGATTTGAGGTTTCAAAAGAATCCCTTGGAATACGGATCAGGATGTGGCTCTCAGCTCCTGCCTGCCTGTTGCCACCGTGCTCCCCTCCATGATGATAATGGACTAAGCCTCTGAAACTGTAAGCAAGCCCCCCAGTTAAATGCTTTTCTTAATTAGAGTTGTCATGGTCGTGGTGTCTCTTCACAGCAATTGGACACTGACGAAGACAGGAGGTAACAAGGAAGGAAGGAAGGAACAGTCAAATAATGGGTTGGTGTAGTGCTTCATGATAGAGCCTCAGTTACTTCAGTGCCTGGAGTCTGAGCTGGAGGAATGAATTCAGCAGAAGGATGCTGAAAAAGATGTTCCTGGTCAGTTGTAAAGGGTGATGTTTCTCTGATTTCTTTCTCCATGAATGTATCGTCTGTACATAGTCCCCTGGAGAAGGGGAAAGGAACAAGATCTCCTGAGCAAATTAGGAGCATGGGGGGAGGGGAGATGGAGCTAGGAGAATGAGAAGGGGATAAGAAGAGGGGTGAGGAGGACATGAAGGAGCAGAAAGGTTGAGTTGGGAGAAGAATAAAAGAAAACAAGAAAGGTAGATACCATAATAGAGGGAGACATTTTAGATTTACAGAGACATCAGGCACTAGGGAAACGTCTGGAGATCTACAACGATGACACTAACAATCTAGCAACAGAGGAGTGTCTACCTTAAATGCCCTCCCCTGATAATGAGATTGACAACTAACTTATATGCCATCCTATAGCCTTCACTCAGCAGCTGGTGGAAGTAGAAGCAAACACCCACAACTAATCACTGAACTGAACTGGAATCCAGTTGCAGAGAAGGATAAGTGATGAGCAAAGGGGTCCAGACCAGGCTGGTGAAACCCACAGAAACAGCTGACCTGAACAAGGTGGAGCTTTTGGACCCCAGACTAATAGCTGGGAAACCAGCATGGGATTGATCCAGACCCCAGGAACGTGGGTGTCAATGAGGAGAACTTGGAAATCTATGGGGTCTTCTGTAGTAGATCAGTACTTATCCCCAGCATAGGTGTGGACTTTGGGAGCCCATTCCACATAGAGGGATACTCCCTCAGCCTAGATACACGGGGGAGGGCCTGGGCCCTATCCCAAAGGATATGACAGACTCTGATGACCCCCTTTGGAAGGCCTCACCCTCCCTGGGGAGCAGAAAGGATATGTGATTGGTAGGGTTTTAGTTGGGAAGGTGGTAGGGGAGGAGGGGAGGGAGAGGGAATTGGGATTAACATGTAAAACAATCTTTTTTCTAATTCAAATAAAAAAATCTGGAAAAAAAAAAAAAGATGTTCCTGGGCAAGTGTGTAAATTGAGGATGACCTGTGTCACTGAGACAAAGCCGATCGAGGGGGAGGGAGGGAGCCGCTGATTGGATGATGGTGAGCAGTGGCGTGAAGTTGACAGATTCAGTATCTCAGTGACTGGTGCATGCGTGTATGTGTGCATGCATATATGTGTGTGTGTGTGTGTGTGTGTGTGTGTGTGTGTGTGTGTGTGTGTTTATAGGACAGAAGACAACCTTGCTTGTCATTCTCAAGTATAATGTCTATGTTCTTTTAGACAGGGTCTCTTATTGGCCTGGAACTCACCAACTGGGTTGAATTGTCGGGCCAGCCAGCCCAGGAATCTTCCCATCTCTGCCTCTCAGCACTAGGGTTACACAAGCTCCACTATGCCCAACATTTTAGCATGGGTTCTGAGGATGAAATTCAAGCCCTCTACCATGCTTGCAAGGTAAGCACTTTACAGACTAAACTGTCATTCCAGCCCCCATGGGGGTGACGTTGACAAGAGCAGATTCTGTTGAATGGAGGGATGGGAAATGCCATTGAAGGAATAGGGAAAACAAAGTATAGAAAAAAGTTGTAACTTTCATGATACTTAATATGTGCGGAAGAAGTAAAATTAGATATTGCTACTTTTTACTAAGCAGTGTTTTGTGCTAGGAATCTTCCAAGATATTTACAATTCTCCCAACAACTCTCAAGACAGGGCATTCCTATTATATAAATTGTTTAGCATAGGATTAAAGATACTAAAGATATTAAAAAAGTCCACACAGCTAGCAAAGGTGGAGCTGGAATTCAGCTCAGCTTTGTCTTGGTCTACTTCCTGTCTCCTTTTATACCAGACTCTCACAAGGCAGGAAGAATTACACTGTGGGTATGACTTGCAGAAACTTGACAATTTCTTTTTGGTTCCAGCCAGAAATGCTTTTTTTTCCTTTATGAAATGTGTAATGTTCTGAATATTGCATTAATGAGATTTTAAAAATTCCCATAAGTTTTTCAGATTTCAGTTATTAATTGAAATGCCAACAACCAAAGGAAAATTAACAACAAATGATTTTAAGTACTGCCTGTAAGCTCATGACATCCCTTGACAGTCTCCTCAATATCAAACTTTCCTTTGGATTCTGGGCTTGTATCCTCAACTTGACCTTTGAATTTCTTACAGACATTCTAAAATTAACATATCCCAAATGGTCTCTTGGCTTCCTGACCTAACCAACCATCTCTTTCGATTTTCCATATATGAGTAAATTCAGAGCACAGTCTTTTTTTTTATTTTTTATTTTTTGCTTACTGCAGAAGGCTAGTTGTCATCTTTGAGCCCTTTTTCCTAATTGGCCAATTGGATCCATCAAGAAGTCATTCCAGCTGAGTGGTGGTGGTGCACACCTTTAATCCTAGCACTTGGGATGAAGAGGCAGGCGGATCTCTGTGAGTTTGAGACCAGCCTGCTCTACAAAGTAAGTTCTAGTACATCTGGGACTATCACACATAGAAACCCTGTCTCGAATCCTTACTCCCCAAAAGAAGTCATTCCATTTCTTCCTTTAAGAGAGACCCTAACTCTGCCTGTCTTTCTCTGTCTTCAGCTTCCCACTCTTAGGACTACCTTACCCCACCTGGGCCTCTTCTGCCCCACCATTTCCCCTATCACAGTTAATCTCCTCCCAGCACGTACCTCTTGCAGTTATCATCACTTCTTTGTTACATGCTTCCCCCTTTCAAATGCAAGTTCCATAAGGGCAAGGATTCTGTTTTAATTGCTATCATATCTCCAGTGTTTGACATGATTAACATAGTACCGAGTATATAGTAAGTGCTCCACAATATTTTGATAACTGAAGAAAAGGTTGATGAATAAATAACTTCTAATGGAAGGTAGGAATAGAAGTAAAACAAATAGTGGCAGCCAACTGTGGAAAAAATACCCACCCAAAGACTAGATGCCACACCCAAAGCAATAAATCCATGGTCAACATGATCAGCCTTCCGAAGGCCTTCAGGCACCGGGTCCTGGTCTTGGCTCCTTGCCAGGGTTGTCTTCCCTCTTCCTTTCCACTTAGGCTGCACATTGGTTTTCTATGTCATCACAGTGATACAAGAGACAACTTTTGGTAGTTTATATAATACATTTGGCTATATTATTTTGATTACCTGAGAGAATGAGGTCTGAATTTGCTGATGGGAAGCTCAAAGAATGAGTGGCTGAGCCCGGCGCTGGATGTGCACCCTGTTTTGAGATCTGCCTTTCCCGCGGCACTTACGATTTATATCAGACCATAGAATAGCAGTGTTGTAACCTCTAACATTTCACTTATCACTCGAAATAGGGAAATGGGTGGCATATGTTTTATGTTTGAGATAAGTTATCTGATGAAGGAAGGAAAGGGTTCAAGGTTTCCCACTTGTGCAGTGATTAAAGCCTGCGTGCTTGGAGAAGTACTTCTGTTTGAATCCTAGTCCAACTGCATACTAGATGAGCTCCCTAACTGGGAACTCCCTAACTCTCTGGTTCTGTTTCCTCATCTGCAAATCGGAGGTTAATATTAGTAGCACATACTACATATCATTCTGGGGTTTCTCTCTATTGATCCATATAAGGCATTCTGTGTAATGTAGGACCCATAGTAAGCGCTCGGGACCAGCTGATGAAGGGAGGCTGAGCCAGACCTCTGACCACCTTGTTGGCTCCAACTACAGAGGCCTTTCTATCAATTACGTTTTTGCTTTATACTTAGGGCAGAAAGTTGGAATGATATTCATGTGCGATGCTCTTCTCAGGAGCTCCCTGCATACTAGGCTAAGGCTAAGGATGTCTTGAATTTATGCAACTCCTGAGTTCCAGAGTGAAGATAAGAATTTGATGTTGCCTCATCTGCAATCCAAGGTCATTTTGGCAGAGAACAATGAAGACCGTGGTGTCAGCACAACTAGTTGGGCTTCTCAGATCGCAAGTTTCTAGAGTTTCAGACCTCCAGCACATGCTGCCTTCTTGTTGTGACCTTTGCTCAGACTTAATGTTTGTCAAAGGAGGAGCTTGCCTTCTAACTCTTAAAATTTCCCTGGCATCAGAGTCTGTATTCATTATTATTTACTCAAAATAATAATTTAATGTGCCAGGCTTGGTTGACTCCCTATGGAAGGCCTCACCATATGAGAGAGTGGATGGGGGTTGGGAGCAGGGGTGGGAGAACTGTGGATGGGTTGTAAAATGAAATTTTTAAAAAACAAATAAATAAATAAATAAATAAATAAATGATCTCTTTTGACTTTTGAATAGAATGTATTATTCCAAAACCTGCAATAATTTAATTGATATATATTAAGAATAAAACAATAGGAGTAACAAGACCAGAAGCCATTGCCCTGATGAGGGAAACTTCTAAATTGTTATACATACAGACATACAACCAGCACAGTTCTGTGTTATTTATCCTTCTCTGAAATGAAAGGCCTCAGTCCAAGCAGACACCTTATCATTTAAATCCCTATGTTTGGCAAAATTCTAATTTTTGTCACAGGTTTTCAGTTTCTTGTACAAAGAAAAGTGGGATTCTCCTCAGAGGACTGTTGAGATGGAGCATCCAGCTAGCCCCAGCATGATCCGGAAAGTCCCATTCCGCCCCTCCTCCAAACCCCACCCTCTCAGAGAATCTCCAACAAAGGAAAGGTCAAAAAGCCCAGTTCCCATTCCTGGTGACTATTGCAACTCCTCCCCTGATGCCGCCAGCAACTCAAGTCCCCGCCTAAGTATTTCAGGTTTTGACCATATTTGAGAATAAACCCAGCTTGTGGCAGATACATCATCCACCCTTCGCCTACAGGCTCTCTGCTTTAGTCTGGAGTTGCATAAATTCAAGACATCCTTAGCCTTAGCCTAGTATGCAGGGAGCTCCTGAGAAGAGCATCGCACATGAATATCATTCCAACTTGGCTTCTCTGGTCTTGATCTTGGGGGACTGGGGAACCCACCAGGAGTTGCTTTGCTTAAGTTAACCTGTTCTTCTATTTTTTCAATTTGGCTTGATCTGGCTTACAGGGTGGATGGAGAAGCTTATTATCAGGCTATGGAAAACCTATTAAGGACCATCTGTGGTCACCATGTAGATGCTTGTTTGTGATCTTGACAGCTTATCTGGACACACATTCTTCTAATGACCCACTGAGGAATTGTGCTGTTAGGGACAGAGTCTCGGTTCCAAGGACAGGTCCTGAGGATGACATTAGTTAAGTCCCTGGTTTTGGTCACTGTTACCTTTCTGTCTGATAGCCCAATCAAGAAACGAGAGTCAGCATCAGCAAAGCCATGGCATTCTAATCTTCCTCCATGTTTGAAAAATCTCCCCAAATGTGTGGCAACAAATTTTTATTCTGAGGTTGATTCTGGGTTGCTCAGCAATCTTGCCTTTGACATGCAGGAAAAGCTGATCTAGATGGCAAACCACCCACTCCATATTTAAAACAATCCTGGAAATATCCTCTATGAGTTGAATGACCAATCTTCTAAAAAACATGAAGAATAAGTACCATAGGCCACTTGGGAATTTTCTGAAGGTTGCAGTATGACAAGGAAGTAACACCAGGTTCAGATCTTGACTTATTTACTGGTTGATTAATACTGGAGAACCTTTAATTCACGAGTTTTCTCACTCGTGGAGTGAGTGTGCTAACATCTTCTACACAAGAGGCTCTTTTGATGATTACAGCGGCTATAAAGTTTAGTGCTGGATGTCTACCGAAGGCTCAGTAAATGGCTTGCACCTCTTTCGTCTTCATAAGCAAGTACAATGAGGGAACCAAGCTTGGCTTCAGAAAGCTTGAAGATTCATGTGGTTTGGGAGATTCACGCCTGGGGAGACTTTATGTAAGGGTCTAGTCTGCTGGCTTCTCTTTGAGGGGAAAATAAAAAGTGATTGGGTAGCATAAGACCTATGTTACAAAAAAAAGCCACTTTTGATCAGGATTGAGTACTAACCTGTTACGATAAATGTTACAATAAATCTTTCTGCCAAAAGCCGCTGAGCCCCACTGCCACGTGTGAGCTTTACACCAGCCACCTGCCCAAGTTAGGCCTAAATGAATACACAGAGAGACTTGTATTAGTTACAATGCTGCTTGGCCAATGACTAGGATTCTTATCTGTTAGCTCAGTATCAATTATCATACATCTATATATTTTATAAGACTTATCTTATCGGACGCCTTAT